CAAATGTGCATGTAATCGCAGAGAGAGCGAATGCCTCGAACCAAGGGTCAAAGTGGGTCGTGTGCGCGAATTCTGGTTATGTGCAGCACAATTTTTCACCACACACTCCCACGACACAGAGAGTGAGAGAAGAAACTACAAAAACGAACCCCGAAAACCGTGATCGAATTATCGAAGTGATAAGTGGTGAACGAGGCAACATGAGGAAGGTAACGCATAAATGCGTTCGAGACCGCTACCTAGCGTTTCCCAGGATTTAACAAAAACAAAAATGAATATTCGTCGGAGTCATGATGTATCAGAACCGATGTAACGCAATATCGATGTTTAACGCTTGTTTAATTTTCTTTGCTCAATTCAAATATAACCATGTTAAGTTGTGACACGTACGCGCGCGTTGTAAGGAATAGCAGCAAAACTTGAGGACAATCGATGGTTCATGATGGAAGAAGGGTATACATTTTTTTTTAAAATAACCCGTGGCCATTTGACCACTGGTCATTTTTAAAAGGGCGGTATGTTGTATCCTAACCCTTCTTCCATAATTGAGATTAATAATATTTGATGATTTTTATATATTATCTTTTTACTTGTTTTTTTAATGAGTGAAACACACCAAGCGCAGCAAACTGCAAAACACCAGGTGTTGTTAAGTAATGAACCGGAGGAGGGCTAGGATGGCAGAATTTACAACGTTGCTTCAAGGGAAGATAAGGCCTGATGAACGGGCACATGTCACCCGTGCAGGCGGCAGAGACAGTGGGAGTGTCAGCCAGACATAGTTAAGGCAAAAGCCCAATCATCCTGCATGGTTTTAAAGTAACGTCAAAATTCGAAATTCAACAACAGAGTAGGCTAAATTATCGATCCTCGCGCTCGCTCAAATTGGAGACCAGGCTGCGAGCTACATCAATGAACCATTGCCCATTTGCTAATCCAATACTGAATGTTAATATTACTGAAGTCAAAACGAATTCTATGACCTCAGCACATGGGCAAATAATAGGGCAGTGTCGACTCAAAGGCAATGGAAGAAAACAGAGGCGCCTTTGTCTAAATCACAACCACAGAAAGCCAGGAATCATCACTGATTGTGTGTTCAGGAATTCCGAGCTAGTTAGAACACGTGCACAGGGGGGGGAGCTGATGTAAACAACCCTGCGCGTCTGGATGTGAGGGGGCCTTGGACCTGGAATCAAGAATAAACACTCCCAGAGCAGAAGGTTGGCAGGGGGAGAGGTGATTTAAAAGAGGGTTGTATATCTCTCAAGGCACAAGACCCAGCTGAACAACACGGCTGCGGGGGTCACCAGAAGTTCGCATTCGCCTAGTTAAGACAAAAAGCTCAATTATTCTGTATTGCTATTAAAGTAACGTTAAAGTCGGAATTTAACAACAGGGTAGGCTAAAGTTATTGATATTCACACCCACTCCAATTAAACCAGGTCACAAGTTACGCCTACTGAACCATCACCATCATTAAGTCAATATGAAATGTTATTTCCATACTTCAATACTTTCTATACAATTCGACCCGAAGCATATGACAATCAGAACCTTCCTAAGTCAAAATTGAATCGCACCCAGACAGGAGCGAATAGTCAATATAAGGTTGAAGAGGGAAGGAAATCAAGAGCACGGCGAACTGCAAACGTAAGCAAAAAGCCGGGAACAACACCAGCCCAGCAACAGCGAGTGGGGCTTCGACAGGCCATAAAGTAGAATAATAACTCCCGGGGTCAGGGGACACAAGAAGAAGCAGGCAGACAAAAACCAGAACTGACTCCAAGGTTCAACCGCCCTCACCTACTCAGGAGTGACGGAAATTAATGAGGCCTTGAATTAACGGCAGGCAACAACAACGGCGAGCAGAGATAGGGTGGGGCAAAGACTGCGGGCTATGGAATGCAACTTCGTGTCAGTAAAGCCCTGACAAACAAGTTAAGTTAAAGACATCACAATACATAATATCGCACATAACATCAATGTTAACGCTATTCACCGTAAACTATATTCCGCTTATATAACCATCCAGGCACCAAGGAATACGAATTCCTAGGATCAAGAAACTTACCCCTTAACCTAAGATATCGGAAATAAATTAATAGTAATAAGTATATGCATGAAAAGACAAAGTAAAACTTATGGAAAAGCCAGGATAACGGGATGAATCACCACCAGGTCGAATATAAATACATAATAAAAAAAAACAATGTTAAACCCAGGGTCGGAGAGAAAGGGAGATCCCGGCCGTCTTTGTATCCCCGCAGCGCGGGATAGGAGTGTATACGCTCGGGGAAACACCTACACTTGAGTCAGGAACCACGATGGGAAACGACAGACCTTAGGTTACATACAGAATCATAACTGTGAAATAGTAAGGGACAAATGTTAACTTAAAACTTTTAACCATTTCTTTGTGCGCCGGGTCGGAGAGAGTGTTGCCCCTCCCTCCAGGTTGTGCAACACGAACAAAGACGCCTATGAGACGATTTGTAACGTCTGTGTTTTGGGTTCATGAAGAAGGCCAGACAAGAGATAAATTGCACCCAGACAGAGAGACGACTTCGAGACAATTTGTAACATCTGGTTGTTTGCTCGTGGGTTTTATGGAGGGAGTTGACAACGGAATATACCGTCAGTGATGCACACAAGGACATACGGACACACACATGGACACACCTGCCTACGGACAGATCCTGACACAGCAAAAATCGGAAGCCCCGCCTTGTGGGCGGGATCCAGGGGGATTTTTCAGCATAAAGGAACGGATCCTGAACATTGGAAACCAGTGCGACGGGAGGGTCCACTCAGAAGCTCGACCGGGAGGGTCGACTCAGGAACGAGTGCGACCAGAGCGGGTCCACTCAGGAGTGCGACCAGAGAGTCGACTCAGGAGCGAGGGCGACCAGCGGGTCGACCCAGGAGCGAGCTCGACCGGGAGGGTCGACTCAGGAGCGAGCTGCGACCAGCGGGTCGGCTCGACTCATCTTCAGCTCGTCAATCTCTGCTGCCGCCGGAGATCTCCGCTGCCGCCGGTGGTGAGCGTCGCGACTTGGCGACGATCCAGCGCTGCACGCTACGAGCGAGTTGTGGGCGCCACCTACCGACCGGGTTCCGAACTGCGACAGCGTATCAACAGCCATCCGAGCCAATTCACCACGGTGACAGGGGAGCGCCTGATACGTATGACGCGCACCGCCCCCTCACCACACGACCACCAGGCGTCTGTTTGACATAAAGAATCGACTCCGAACACTGACTATTCAAGACAACTCTTACCACTCAAACACACTCGAACCCATAAGTCATCCGTGGCTGGGAAGCATCACAACGAGACCGAGTGGTGGCCTCCGTCGTATAAGAGTATTCTTAATTTTTATCTTTAATATTTAGTGGGCTGTACTCTTAATCGCATAAATTCCCAACAGATCCATCAATACGAACTGATTCTTGGCACCTCCTTCCGCCGAGCCACGCTCACGTGGGGAGTGGTGGCCCACCGGATCCTTATCAGGTGATCTGGTCCCCAATTAGTAAACTTGGTATAAGATAACGATCTTCGGAAAAGGAGCACCGTCGCAGGCCCTTACTCCGAGCCGTTCTGCTGTCAGATAACCTGCCGATGTATCTGTTGAGATTGGTGCCTTTAAGAATAGTAACTGTTTTGATTGTGTTTTTTTTTTTTATCGCCGTATAATCTTTCAAGTATCTTCAGTCATAATCGCCGCACGTACTCGCATCCTCTACAGAATATTCAACTGTCCCGTGACCCAAGGTGTTAACAACGTGATAAGGGTTGCGTATGATCAATAAGGAGTGCGGTACTGCGTGAACAATATTGAGTATAATCATTCATTAACGTTAAGGTTTTCTTAGCATAGTATTTGCATGTTTTAACGACTCTCTCTCTCACTAACAACCATCGCGTTATGCGGGATCCATGTGCAGTTGTCAAAGTGAAATCAGACAATCGTTGATGATACTGTATTGATGCCGTATTGACGTTCCGGGATTGAGAGTTCGCATACTATATCATAGTTAAGGTTGAATTAGTAATAAATTGATCAATACAGAAGTGGTTGTGTGATTCTTTCCTGAAATCTATGCATAAGATCTGCTTCTGCGTTGAGATTTGAACTTGGTGACCTTAATAAACACACTAATACATACTCAGTAAATGTTAAAGCGATAACGGGGGTGAACCGGGGTCTGGTTATCATAACGACTTGCGTTATCATAATTACACCCACTCGCATAATTAATACGATTACCTCTCGAATTGGCATAATTAAATGTGCGTAATTACATAATTAACATATTTCCGGATAATTACACATTTGGCCAAATTTCATTAATTATTATTATTTCCACTGAATATTCATAACCCACACATACAACATAATAATTTCACCCACGCACGCATACAACATAACAAATTTTCATAACCCAACATATACAACAAGTACCTATATACTACATTACTACATACTACAACACACTACACTACTATATACTACTCCACTACTATTTACTATACTACTACACTACTATACACTACTACACTACAACACAACCATATACTACATTGTACACTACTATACATTACTGTATACACTCCACTACTATATACTACACTGTACAAAACTTTGCACTACTGTATAGACTATACTACACTGTACAAAACTAATCACTACACTACTATACACTACACTATACACTACACCATCATACTCTTAGGTTTTTTCGGTAAAGTCACGTAGGTAAAAAATAAAATTGATAGAAAAAAATAAAATAGTGATTTATTATTTTACTTTTATTAATTTTAATTTTATTTTTTACCTACGTGACTTTACCAAAAAAACCTAAGAGTATGAATCCTTGCAGTCACGAAAGCTTCAAATCTAGAACTACACCATCACACACCATCACCATCACAGCGTCATGACAACGTCACCACACAAGCGATCACGTGTAGGCGGGGTGACGTCAAAGTTTACCTGCACAGAAATTCCACCAGTTGGTCGACTTCTTTTCTGTGTGGGGGAGTTGCACAGAGAGGTTAGTTCTACATACTCACACACACAGATATACACAGTATCTTATATATAAAAGGCATTTTACAGTAAGAAACAATGTTCCACACTGCCCACCAGGGATTATTTGTCTGTCGTTGCATAAATAAATATATATAAACATCTCTTTGATTGGTGGAGACCTACTGCCGGGTACGGAGAGGGGAGGGGCCTAAGGAGGAGGGTCAGGGGAGGGGCCTAAGGAAGGGGGGAGTCAGGAGAGGGGCCTGGGGGGGGGTCAGGGGAGGGGCCTAAGGATATGGGGGGTCTACATGGGGACCTCATTTGCCAGTAAATATGATAATTGGTTCTTTACCCTTCTATCTGGCAACAAAACTGACACCTTTTTGCAAGGAGTCATGTTTGCATAGACCGCAATACCTGCAGTCATAATACAAACAAAAGAACATAACTCTGATAATGTGCACTGTCCTTGAAGTTGATTGGTCCACACCCGAGACAGCTTTCCTTCGAGCCTAGTCTCATATGGGTTGGACCAGATGACGTGAAAAGGCGCCTTTTATCGGAGTTGTGTTTTTTGTTTGCATTATTTTTTTTTTACAAGGAGTCAATTATATTTTTACTGGCAAATGAGGTTCCCGTAGTGTAGATGCTTGCCCCGAGCTCTCATACTCTGATGGTGCATTGTCTTTGAGTTGTGCGCCTTTTGGCGTCATCTGGTCCAACCCATATGAGACTAGGCTCGAAGGAAAGCTGTCTCGGGTGTGGACCAATCAACTTCAAGGACAGTGCACATTATCAGAGTTATGTTCTTTTGTTTGTATTATGACTGCAGGTATTGCGGTCTATGCAAACATGACTCCTTGCAAAAAGGTGTCAGTTTTGTTGCCAGATAGAAGGGTAAAGAACCAATTATCATTATGATATGGGGGTGGTAAGGGGAGGGGCCTAAGGGAAGGGGGGTCAGGGGAGGGGCCTAAGGATATGGGGGGGGTGGTCAGGGGAGGGGGGGTCAGTGGAGGGGCTGAGGAGGGGGGTCAGGGGGGGCCTAAGGAAGGGGGAGGGGCCGATAGTTAAGGGGGCTGGCTACCTGGCTGGCTGCCTGGCTACCTCAAGTCAAGTTATCTTGTACACAGGTAGGAACAACAGGTTCCACACTGCCCACCAGGGATTATTTGTCTGTCTGTCGTGCATATTGTCTGTCGTGCATGAATGCGCTGTCCAACCAAGTTCCTACCTGCCCACTCCGAAGGAACGTGTTTTGTTTGTCTGTCTGTCTCGTAAGCGCGCTTGCGAAAATTAGCCGGGTACCACGTCGTAAGCCTCGTGCTTGGCATAGGCTATTCCTTTTCCATGTCCGTCACCTTTAAATTAGTTAAAATAGCGTTTTTGTGCACGGGCGTTGCCCCTGGCAACGCATGCGCGTCATCAGTGGATGGTGGGGGGATTTCTCCTTCGCGTTCAAAATGCAAAAAATACACGCGCTGATGTAAATTCATCAAAGTGTCATGTTCTCTTCTTTCCCTTTCCCCCCCTCACCCCAATGTGTACACTGACTACTATAGGGTCGGTAGATACTAATATTATAGCGCTTAGATAGTATTATTGTAGCGCGGGCGGGGGTAGCGTCCAAGCACCCAGCCTCGCTGGCTGGGCAATCTAGGCGAGGCCGGAGCTTTGCACTGGACTAGGCCTTACCACGGCACTCTGTCAAGTGAGTACTTTGTGCTGTAGAGTCGATATATACTGATATAGAGTCCGCATTGTACTACTTTAGTGATATCAGGTACCACCATAGTCGGTATGCACTGCTGTGGTGAAAGCAGGTACCACCACAGTCGGTATGCGCTGCTGTAGTGATAGCAGGTACCACCACAGTCGGTATGCACTGCTGTAATGGTAGCAGGTAACACCACAGTCGGTATGCCCTGCTGTAGTGAAACCAGGTACCACCACAGTCACTAGGCACTGCTGTAGTTAAAGCAGTAACTACCATAGTCAGTATGCACTCCTGTTGTGATAGCAGGTACCACCAGTCAGTATGCACTACTGTAGTGATAGTAGATACTGCTATCGAGTTGGTAGATACTGGTATATAGAGTTAGTAGATACTAAAACAGTCAGTATATACCACTACAGTCAGCCAATACTGCTACAGTCAGTAGATACTACTACTACTGCGGTCAGTAGCTACTAGAATCAGTAGATACTACTATAGAGTGAGTAGTTACTACTACAGTGAGGGAAAAAAGTATTTGATCCCCTGCTGATTTTGTACGTTTGCCCACTGACAAAGAAATGATAAGTCTATAATTTTAATGCTAGAAAAACGCATGTCAAAAATGTTATAAATTGATTTACATTTAAATGAGGGAAATAAGTATTTGACCCCTCTGCAAAACATGACTTAGTACTTGGTGGCAAAACCCTTGTTGACAATCACAGAGGTCAGACGTTTCTGCAGTTGGCCACCAGGTTTGCACACATCTCAGGAGGGATTTTGTCCCACTCCTCTTTGCAGATCTTCTCCAATTCATTAAGGTTTCGAGGTTGACGTTTGGCAACTCGAACCTTCAGCTCCTCCACAGATTTTCTATGGGATTAATGTCTGGAGACTGGCTAGGCTACTCCAGGACCTTAATGTGCTTCTTCTTGAGCCACTCCTTTGTTGCCTTGGCCGTGTGTTTTGGGTCATTGTCATGCTGGAATACCCATCCACGACCCATTTTCAATGCCCTGGCTGAGGGAAGGAGGTTCTCACCCAAGATTT